GGGGAGGAAGGGTGGAGGCAGTGGGGGCGGGGGGGCGAACTTCCTGTTGGAACAGAGGGGAGGACGACTGCAGTTGAATCTTTAAATAACACACACACACACACACACACACACAGAGCTGCCGGTGAGTGTAGTGAAAACTGCACAGGTTTTTGCCGTCGACCTGTTTCTACACAGTCTGGAATTGAACCCACAACCCTCTGGGCTGTGACCACAGTTGAATCTCAGCTTTGGGTTTGTCTGAGAATGTGACGAAAAAATTCTACCCATGAATCTATGACGGCAAATACATTAATATAATGTGTGTTTTGTAAACAGCTGATTGGTTGTAAATCTGGCCCCGCCCCAGTGTTTGTTGTGTAAATATATCTGTTAGCGACAAGGAAGCCTATTAGATGTGTGTGTGTGTGTGTGTGTATGTGTGTGTGCAGCAGCTCGTCAGGTCTGGGGGGGGGGGCGTCTGTGTGTCTAATTTCTTTAAGACCAGGAATTGAACCAACAACCGGTGAATTGATTCTGCGTCAGAGTTTCTGTTGAAAAGTTTCAGATTTTTAGATTCTTTTTGTCCAATCACTGCTCAGTGATTTCTTCCTGGAGGGTTCTGATTGGCCCGTACCCCCCCCCCTTCTCTCTCTGTGTGTCCAGGCTGATGCAGCAGTACTTCTACCCCCCGACCTTCCTCCAGCCCAGCCTGGTGCTGCCCCCTCAGGTCAGCCCCGCAGGATCCTACCCCACCCCTTACCTGGATTACAGCGCCATCTGCTGGCCTTTTACACCCGCAGGACTGCCACAGTACCCCTACCCCCTCTCACCGTCGCCCCCTGGTGGCTACTTCAGCTACAGCTTCTCCCCAGGGCCTGCTCTCCCTCCCTCTCCTTCCTGCCCCCTCCTCTGCCGCCCCCCCTCCTCGCGCTGCCCCCAAGGTCTTCCTGCATTACCCCCTGCACCGGCCCGACCACACGTGCTAGCTGGCTAAAGCTAAGCTAGGCTAAAGAGGACTGGAAACCGGATCAGACTGGAAAACCAGGACCAGGGTTTGATGTTTTTAAAGGACCTGAAGAAAGAACTCTGTTTTTATAAATAAATAACTAAAATGGAAATCTCATCATCATCAGGTGACCTGAACGTTTAGGTTAAAGTTTCTCAACCAACTTCAATTCAACTTCAATTTTTCATGTGAAGTTTCAAACTGTCGACTGTAGAAAGTCTGTTTTTTTTTTTTTTTTACTTTTTTATGTAGTTTTTTTTTTCTATTTTACAGTTTTTACCCGATGTGTCTTCACAAACAAAGTAACGTTTGTGAGTTTCTTTATTTCTTTCAAGTCTGTCTGTAAGTTTGTTTCTCACTTAAATGACCGAGGTTAATTTATACAGTGTTGTCATTTTGTTGCAACATTACTGAACTAAAATCCTGCTTCAGAAATATACAAAATGATTTATTTCAAGACAAGATAAATAAAATCCATGCAGCTTTGTCGCCACCTGTTGGCTGAAAGTATTCACACAATTGCGGAAACAAAAACGAGAGAGAGAGTTGGTATAAAGTTTTGAGGTTTATTAAAACAGAAATCTTTACTGTGGTGAATGAAGAGCTGATCTGAAAACTGCAAAACTGATGTCAAATGTAAGAAATAAGAAAAGTTCGATTCAAGAGTTAAACTGCAGACGGTTTATGTGAAAAATTAAACTGGAGGAAGAAAAAAAAAATATTTCTGAGAGGAAGGAGAGTTGGTGTCTTAAAAATGGAAGACAGAAAATAAAACAGATAAGAAACAGGAAATCAGCAGGTGAAAGAAAAACATCCTCACTGGCACACACACAGGCACGCACGCGCATTCTCTCCAAAAGAAACATACGATACACACACACACACACACACACACAGAAACACACAGATAAAACGCGGTGATTTAAAAGTCCTGATAAAATCAAACGTCATCCACAGGTTGGTTCTGAAGTTCAGAAAATCACACTTGCCGAGAGAAAAAAAAACAACAAAAAAAAAAACTAAAACTAAAATAATTGACGGCCCGACGCGAAACACCCGCAGCCTTTTTATGACGTCATCAGCCCACCCTAACAGATCTCTCTCACACCAACTTGTCTTTTTTTGTTGAAGGAAGTGACGTGTAACACCAACTTGTCTTTCTGTTGAAGGAAGTGACGTGGAAACTGTTTGTTGTTGTTGTTGTTTTTTTTTTTAAACAGTTCAGGAGAGACAGGGGAGACTTGTGACGTCGAACGTGTAGCGGAAGTCCAGCCGGAAGTTGAGTGAAGAAGTGTTGACGGAGCTCAGGACTTTTCCTTCTTCTCCCGCTGCGCCTCTCAGAGCAGGTTTATAAGGCTTGGGTCTTCAGCTCGATGGGCTCCCGGCGGGGGTCCTGCTGGCCCTCACTCTCCGGGGCTCGACTGCCCTTCAGGGTGGCCAGTCGCTCTGCGATGCCCCTCATACGTGGGAAGAGCATGAAGTCGTAGAGGATCGCCCCCATGGCCCCCCCGATCATCGGCCCCACCCAGTA